CTCCTTCCTCTTGTTTTCTATTGTAGAATAAAAATCTTTCGTAGATCACATTCTTTTTAGGGGTGAAGTAATTCAGGACTTTACATTTACAAGCTATTCAGTCTCATGACAATCGTCCTTATTGATCTCCTTCAAATGCACGAATCGTTCAAATTATACTAGCCTCTTCTCCTCTCGATAAACTAAATCTCTCGTTGGCCTGAGTGAAAAATGACTCTTGGAATATCTTCTCTTTACGATAAACTGAATCTCTCGTTGGCCTGAACAGTGACTCTTGGAATATAAGTAGAAAAATATGACTTACAATCTTTTACTGGATCAGCTTCTGTCAGATACACTTACTACACGAAAACTCACAAACTTTCACTGCTACTGCTTCCTACCTCTAGAAAACTATCCGAGAACAACGGCCGTTTGCCTTGTACCCTTGGAAACCAACTGACTATCTTTTTTTCTTCCAAAACTAACTAACGTCTCATTCTCAAACCAACCATCCCACCTTTTTCAATCTCATCCAATCAAAACGCGTCATACATCTCCCATTTCTTAATTTCGATAACACAAACAAATAAATTTTTACCTACAATTATAAAATTTCCTAAAACTTATTTATAAAATAATCTTTTTCTACCAATTCTTATGAACTAACAAAAACATATCTTTCTAAAATCTATTCTATTGTCCTAATTACTGCACAAATTTATTTGGAAAACCCGCTTTCATTGTCTAGGATTTCACTTCAGCTTATTCACATCACACAAATATATTTTAACAAAGAAAATAATTTATTCATATCTTACGTTTTGTTCAATATAGGTAATCCAAAGACAAAAGACTTTCATTCTTCGAAATGTTTGTTGTTTATTATTCTACTTATCTGAATTATTTTGATTTTTTTGAACTTTGAAATATTTTAAGCAAACCAATATTTTTCTCGATTTTACATATCATAACAAATTCCCGCCATTTGATCTGTAGAAAACTCTTTGTTAAATTTTAAAAATGACAAAAGTTTTCCAGGATTAAATTATTTCACTATGTTATTAAAATCTACTCATGATACTGATACATGTCGTGAATGTTAAAATACCCCGTATATTGCCTGTCTTTATACGGGATGGGATATGTTTTTGATTTAAAATTTTCCAAGTATTTAACCTTAAAAGAATGTTCATAGTTTTTAGCCACTCGGCTTTCTTCATTAATAAGATCTCCATAATTTTCTAAAATCTTCTCTATTTTCTTTCTCCTGTTTTCTCCACAATTTTCTTTCATCCTCATTTTGTTCCCATGTGTTCACTGTCCATAATATTTCTTCAGAAAATTCTGGATTCTCGTCCATCATTGCCATTTCTTCTTCTGTTTTCTTTCTATCCTCTAATTCCCTTTCGTATTCCGAGCACCATGTTTCTATTCTTTTCATTTCTCTGATGATAACTTCCTTTTCTTCCTGCTTTCTTTCTGTTTTATCGTCGGTTGCCAACCATTCTTCTGTACCTTCTATTTCCTGTTTTTCTCTTGTCTCCATCTTGTTTTCCTGCTTTCTTTTCGAATTCTTCTTTTTCTTCCTTCTCCTTTTCTCTTCTGTTTGATTTTTTTCTTGTACTTTCGGTTTATCCTCTACAGTCATATTGATTTCTTTACGTTTTTTCTGTGCATTGATCCTTCCAGAATTTGTTTTACTATCTGTTTCCTTTTCTTCTTCTGTGTTGTCTGGTTCTGCTCTGATTTCCAGTTTATTTTCCGAACAATTTATGGTGATATGTTTTTCCCTCAATTCATCAATTCCCGCTATCATATCATGATTTAAATCTTCAATAACCACACATTTCATAATATGGAATTTGTCTCCTACTTTGATCCGTACTCCCAAACCTTCGTTTACTGTCGTCAAATTTCTATTGTTTGTACCCACTAAATCTTCCCTAGGAATCTTATACACAAATCTGTCCAAATTTAATACTTTTACTAGTTTTTTATTGATTAGCGATATCTCCGATCCAGAGTCAATCACAACTTTAATCGCTTTATGTTTTATAAATGCATCTAAAAATATTAGATTAGAATTATAAATTTGTCTTTCGTTTCCTATTGCTACATGGTTCATCTCCCTTCCATTTTGTTGTTGGAAGCTCTGGTTATTTCTATCGTCCCTTTGTTCGTTCGTATTCCTATTCGGAGGATTTTGTGCAGCTCTATTCCTGTTGTGATTTTCATATGTTCTATTTTGTGTGTCATTCCTGTTATCGTAATTTTGTTGTCTATTGTAATTATTGTAATTTCTCGACCTATATTCGTTTATTGGTCTGGGATGTCGGTTTCTCTGGAGATAATTTGATGGATACCTTCTTTCCGGTCCACTATATTGGTCATGTTGTCTTCTATTTCTCATTTCACTTCTTTTCGCTTCTTTTAATTGAAGCAATTAGCACAAACTATCAATATCTTGATAGTTTCTCAAAATCACGTGATCTTCCAAAGTTTCCTCAAAATGTCTGCTGATCATTTCTACCAGCTGTTCGGTAGAATATTTGTATTCCAGATATTTTGAATTGTTATATATCTACAAAGCATATCTTTCTTCAGATATTCCCATTTTTTCGTGATATTTTCCATTCTGTAGCTCTTGATTGATTTCTCTCTGTTTATTTTTTCCCCAGAAATAGTTGAGAAATTTATTTTCAAATTCTGTCCAATTTTCAAACTCATCTTCCTTGCTTTCATACTATAACGCTGCTCCTTCTTTCAGATGGTTTCTAATTGTTTCTTTGCAATCGTCAAAATATCTACCATGTTGCAATTTGGTTTTCAAATTTTTAACAAACGGTACTAGGTGTGTTTTCCGAATATCCTCGCCAAATTGTATTTTCGTCTCGCTTTTTCGTTCAGGCTGCGACGAGAGATTCAGTTTATCGAGAGGAGAAGAAGCTAGCATGATTTAAACGATGCGTGCATTTGAAGAAGATCATTAAAGAAGATAGGCTCGCAATAATTTGTTGTAAGATTGCTGATTACCTAGGGGACTGCTAAGAGTAGATAGTGTAGGTATCAAGGAAAAAAGATTTGGACAATTCATCATCAAAGAGATAGTTTTACCATGCGTCAGTTTTTCTTTATTAACAACACAATTTTTAACAATTGCTTTAGAAAAGATAGGAATATTTTGATCAGGAGATTTAGAACAACAATTTTGATTTGAAATTTTAATGTATATTTTATATATCATTTATTTTTTGGGGTTCACGTACGTATAACAAAATTTTGATAATCATTTCAATTTGTATCATATAGTTTTTTTATTATTCTGGGATTCTTTGGACCTTACCTATCATTATGTAAAGCATAGATATTGAAGCACGAGTATAACCCTGAGATAAAAAAATAAATCATGTGATAGAATCATAATTGCATCATTTAAATAGGTTTAATTAATTAATTAGTTAATGGCGCACCTCAGACTTTTAATATCACATTAATATATATATATATATATATATATATATATATATATATATATTTATTTATTTATTTATTTATTAAAATCTATTATCTTATATAATTAAAATCTACATAAAATCTAAATCTTTAATTTATTAAATTTACAAACCACATTAAGAAATAGTTAAAGTGAATAACATTAAACTTTTTGTCAAAGTAAGTATTCAATATGTCCACCATTTTCTTTAATTCATTTGTCAATACATTTCATAAAATATCGTATCATATTAAATAGCGTCATTGGTTCTAAAGGAACTGCTGCAGTATTTACTATAAGTGTAATATAATAGTAAATAATAATTTACTATAAGTATAATAATAAGTGTTTTTTGAAATGCTTATGAATTAAATAATTATATTAATATTTCACCACAAGAATATGACTACCATGAATAATTTTTACAATAAATCAATACAAGAATTTTATAAAAAATGTAAATAAATCTCGACATTCAAATTGCAAGTTAATTCGTATATCCGTAAAAAATAATTATCAATGGTTCCAAACCATTGGACATGCATTTTAAATATGAATTTTGAATGATATTTTTCGGATATGCGAATTAAGTTTTAATTTGAATGGTGAGATTTATTTAAAATTTTTATAAAATGATTTTATTGATTTATTGGAAGAATTGTCATCAAACTTAAGGCGAAATATGTGGTATCTACAAGATGGTACACCATTGCATTAAAGAGAAAGCGGAGTGAGACAGTATTTAAATATACTTTCCTGAACGTGGATTGTTTGTGGTAGTCATATTCTTGTGATGAGATAATTTTTTAATTTGGTTTGTAAATAAAATGTTTTGATTATGACTTTAATTTAATACAAAATGTAAAATGTTTGATGTAAAATCCAATTATTCTTTATTTTATCAAATCCTATTATCAATTATCCTGCTGATATATTTATTTTATTTAATAATTCGTTAACTAATAACTTTATTAAAGGTATTTTATAACAAAATTCAAAAGTATTGATGTTTTATCTATTTTTCTTTCATTGCCTGGAGTAATTGCGTTAAATCAGAATTACTACTATTCGGATAGGATAAAAAAAATGGAACATTGTCTTACTAAAAATTTATTAAAAATCCTTTGTAAAAGGTATATATGAACCCAAATGGGCTAAGTTAAACAGACAAAACGTTTTCGGAATCCATATTCCATCATCAGTGTCCTAGAAAATTATTGAATATGGATTCCGAAGACGTTTTGTCTGTTTAACTTAGCCCGTTTGGGTTCTTAATATATACCTTTTACAAAGGATTTTTAATATATGGTATACAGCCAACTATAGGAACGTAGATTCCTTGTGGATTGTCTTACTAAGTGTATTGAGCTAAAAGGGGACTATATTGGGAAATAAATCGATTTAATTCCAAAAAACGTGGTTTTTCTATCAAAGGCTAGTTTTATATTAATCCACCCTTGGTTGTCTATCTATTTAAGACTATCTAATAATTCATAAAGTAAACTGATTATATTTAGTTACTTACCATATAATCCTTGGGTTCTTTTTCTAATACTTCTAGTCTTAAAATCATGGGCGTAAAAGACGGAATGGTGATATTTATATGAGTCTTTATATGTTCGAGATTAGTGCGTGGATGCGACCAGAATGTCGTAACCGAGAGCTCTTTATTTTTTCCATACTGAATCACCAGAGCAGAACTAACATCGTACCGATAGGTTTCATAGGTAAATTCTCCTCTTAAGCCTAAATTACTGGATTTTCGGTTAATTGAGGTCTCGACTCTTAATTTTCTTCTACCATCGACAAGGAATGAATGAGATGCCAATGTTTCGAATTTAAACATTTTGTCTTCAGCGTCAGGATGATTTCGAGGTAAAGGACTTTGATACAATTTGAATATTAGATCTTTGTGAGAATCGCTTCGCTAAAAAGAAATATATAAATTAAAAAAAGTAAGTACATAGCATTTTTTGTAATTCATAGTAATATTCATTACTTTATAGTTTTATATTTAAGTTAATTGTTATTTGATCGGGTTCCGAGAAAACCTGTTCCAGGTACTAGTGACGTTAAAGAAAAATTACCCTACAGTATTCCCTCGCATAATTCCTCCATGGATATTTTACAGGTATAAATAAAAAACAGTAATTATTGACAACCTCTATGATTACTTTGCTTGCCTTTGGCCTGAAATATTTTCTAAGTAGGCTTCAGTAAATTCCATTCCGCTATCAGACATAATAACAAACTAAACCAACAGAAATCAGGATATATTATTAAATATCTTAAAATCGAAGTAAAATGACTTTTAACTAACATGCAATACATATTCAAGGCTGAATTATCTAATAACTAGAATATACTGTTTTAATAATTTCTTTGTCTTTTCTTAGCCTCTGGAGAAAATTTTTGTTAGTTGTATAACTTAACATACGTCGGTATCGCCACATTTCAAATGCCTCTAACCATTTTGTGGTATCATCTGTAAAACTTCCAGCTTTCTGCTCCGTAAAAGACACTAAAGACGTTAAATCGAAGAATTGTTATGCTTATTTGATACTTAAAGTCAAGTTGTAGACAATGTTCCTAAGACCGTTAAACGAGCTTCTGGCTTTTTCAATATGAGTTTTCATTTCGTAGCTATGATCCTAGGTATCCTTAATATTGTAGCCCAGAGAGCAATATTTTCTCCACTCTTTTTAACTGTGTGACGCTAACTCTAATTTGGGAGATTGGTCCAGGACTAAAAATGTGTTCAAAATATATGCTAAATTACGCTGATATACCCTCTTGAACTGCTTTTCCAATTACAAATGGTGAGATTTATTGACAGTTTTTATAAAATGATTTTATTGATTTATTGGAAGAATTGTCATCAAACCTAAGGCGAAATCTTAGACATTTCAATTTCAAATCATACTGTTGCTTTTTGTTGGAGATATAAGTTTGAGATTAGTCTTGTATTCTTACTATTGGGTCCTGATGTTTTCAGTATGTTGATTTAGACAAAACAAAGTATATAAAAATAAGAACGCAATCACAAATCCTACGTCCACTTGTTATAGAAAATTACGTCATCAAAGGGTTAACGAGTTAGTATACCTGGAAGCAGAGATAAATCGCAGAATTTGCATGGCCAAAAGATGGTCTTTGGGGCTCAATCTTCTTCTTAAATGCTTAATTATATCGAGAAATACAAAGGTAATATTCTACAAAGAAATAATACGCCCAGTCCTAACATATGATTTAGAGTCTTGGACTCTAACAAATTGGAATTAAAAATGTAAAGATCTTTTGAAAGAAAAGTAGTGAGGCTATTATATGAAGCGGTGATTGACAATCAAGTATGGAAAAGACGATACAACTTCAAACTTTATATAATATACAAGGAACCAGATATCGTAAAATATTGTTACGATAAATATGACTCATACCCTGAACTGTAAACATATTTTTCTAGCAAATTTGTTTTTGTAGGTAAATATCCACAAGTCCTATCCGCTAAAACCTTTCTGGATTTCATGGCGTTCGAGAACGTTCAGCAAGGGTCACCGGCCGATTTCTATGGATCCCCAGAATAACGGTTATTACATATCTATAGAGTCAGATTATATATAAATTAAATAAAGACTCTAATAAACTAAGTGTTAGAACATTATTTTATAATAAATAAAGTTAAGAAATTAGATTTATAAAAATAAATATATTAAAATAGGACGTCTGAGGTGGGTAGGGCATGTAATGCGGATGGAGCTAAATGATAAGAAAACGCTCCTTGATAAACTCATTGGTTAGAAAAGAAGAGAAAGACGCAAAACAAGGTTCCTTGACAATATCGATGAAGATATGAGAAATATTGGAAGACGTGCTCGGCGGAGGAAGGTGATGGATAGGGACGACTGGAGAGAAATTCTTGAGGACGCTAAGACTTAAGCAGGGTTTAAAGGCCATAATGATTATTAGTCTTATATCCTTACCATCCAGTCCTAATGATTTTAGAATATCGATTAGTTGTCCATGTGGTACTTTGTCTAATGCCTTCTCGAAATAGATAAAATATTGATACACATTCCAGTTAAACATCCCTCTGATGTTCTCTGCAGAAACTATCATCGAAAGTAGACATAATCTTTGAAATTTAACAATGGGATAGTTTTAATTCATTACTTCTAAACTTGTTCTGCTTGTAGTGCCTATCCCTTTCGAATGTTGGTCACCATATTGGCAATCTTTTTTTTTTCAAACTGCTGCTCTGAAAAATTGTGTGATTGTTGTGTTGAACCATGTACCTAAATTTTTCAGCCGGGAAATCCTTCGCCTTCCTGGTCCCCGTTTGCCTTTTACTTTTTCTTATTGTAATTATTTACTCTCATATTGTAATCGGGGTATTCGATTTTAGCTGTTTTTATTGGGGTTTACAACTTTTTTTCTTTTTACATTTTTAATAAACTTTCTGGTGAGTAACGTGATCGGTATAGCATATCTTTAGGATTTGACGATAAAGCCACATTTCGAAAGCCTCAATTTTCTTGCAGGTAGCGTCTGTGAGGGTAGTTCACGACTTGGTGGACAGAACACCGTACAACAGTATAGAAAATGAGCCATTTTGTGAAATGCAGATCTTGTTTTCTCTATCCTACATTTTATTTCTAGGGAATGGTTCCAATTTTCATTGACGTTCCTACCAAGATAGGTGTATATTTTTACTCTTTCTATTGGTTGACCATTCACACTGATTCTTTCAATTTGCTGTTCCTTCTTAGAGATCATCATACATTGTTAACTTACTAATTAAAGAGATCATAGAAGAAACAAAAAAGGATAAACAAGGATACAAGCCGGGTGAAATAAAATTAAAAATTCTTTGTTAGGCTGATGGCGTAATTCCGATCTTACGAATCCAGATAAGCTTTATTTCAAAACAGAAGCAGACATTTGTCTACCCAAATTGCTAATATTCGCCATAAGAACCTGACAGTATAAGAGTAAGAATATAAACATAACATGTTTAAATTTGTAGATACCTGCGTATGTCTAATGAGAATTATTGACCTATAAATCGCAACAAACACTCAAATTGCCGAATTACAAAACTAACTAATGTTTGGTAATAACAATTAATGTGATTTATTTAACAAAACTTTACTTACATGGAACGTTGCATTAACATCCAAGTTCATATTTGGATAAGCACTAGAAAGTATACTTAAAAATGATGAATATATTTCTATATTTTTCTTGTGGGATTTATCTCCTAAACCGAAATTAAATGACACCCTATGTTTCTTTGTATGAGCAAATTGGTAGTCATTTGTTAAGCTTCCTTGAATAGATGTGTCACCTTTTAATACATAACCATAAAGTACAGATCGGAAGCGTTTGGTTCCGAATTTTAAATTGACAGTATATTGGGATCTTCCTTTTTTGCTCATAGTATCCACATAACCTAAAATACAACATATAAATATATAATAAAATTAATTATTCTTTTGTCTCTTTGTTAAAGAAACAAGATGGCATATAATTTAAATCTGCTGCTAAATAGAGTACATGAAGATATACGATTTGTTGGTTGGTTTGGGCAATCTGGAAGCAATACTTGCAAAATATTTCATTTATTACAAACGGTACATGAAAATGCAGGCCTTTTTGTCTAATTTGTTAAATTTTAATTAGAGTTTTCAAAAATCATACACAGGGTGAAATTTTGTCTATGAACAAAACGAACTATTTTTTTTAAACCGGACCTGATGTTTTTGAAGTTTAAATAAATCATTTGATTAGATGGTAATAGCGTATTCAAACCCGAAAAACCACAGAAAGCATATTTATTTATATATGTATATATATATATATATATATATATATATATATATATATATATATATACAGGGTGATTGATTAGTGTGAGGAAGCTTAGTAGATCTGTTATAGTAAAAATTACAAAAAAAAGTTATTAACAAAAATTGTAGGCAGCTTTAAACTCCATATTTTAAAATTAGTTACAATCCTACAGGGTGTTCCATAAGATGGTGGCAGACCAAACTTATGTTTTTTTAAATAAAACACCCTGTATTTTATTTTAAATTTAAAATCTGCTTCACTTCCACATTACAACAATGTAAAGTTTTATTATGTTATACCGGGTATTTAAAAAGTTATAACCAATATTACCTGAAAATCGTATCAAGTTTAACTCCCTGTATAATTAAAAAGGATTGTAGGAACATTGATCTATTGCAACCATAGTTTTTTAATAATTGTTAAAAACTATAAAACATATTCATTTTCATAATATTCGTTAAATCAAATACAGGGTAAGTCAAAATGCAAGTACATTATTTTCTTGGTAATTTTAAATAGAACACCCTGTATTTTATATCACTATCGAAAAGAACTAATATCGTACTTCATATTTTATGAAGTACTTCCTATACCTAAAGTTATTGGTTTTAAAGATATTTTTATTTTTCCATCAAAGTATTAATTTGGTAGATATTTTAACGTTTACCAATAATTATTGTGAGTTGGCCATGATTGATTTGTCAGACACTGACAGTTTGACATTAATATTTATTAATTCAGTATTGGGGTACACCGTATATTAGCAACAATTATTATTTAGTAATTCAGTAATTGATTCAATTTAAATTAGCAATAATGAATTTTACTACTGATGAAATGGTAGATATGATCTGGATATTGGGGGAATGCAATAAAAATTCATTACTATTAGCTAGAATTTATCAAGAACGGTTTCCAGATAGGCGACAACCTAGACAAGATACATTTGAAAAATTGAAAGATCGATTTAACTGCACTGCTTCAGTGAATTATGAAAAAAACTTTTGACGAAGTAAGTCTAAAACGTTAATCTCAAAAACTTTTTTTCATCCATTAACTTCGAGTTTTTTATCGAAGTTAACTAATTTACTTCATCTAAAAAACGTTTTCTTGGCTTATTTCAGATGCCCCTGAAGATGCTATTTTAAGCGAAAGTACTTGGGCTAGATTTAATTAACTTGTGCTCGATAATAGCCTTATTTTCAAAGTTCATTTATTCGAGCATTCAACCTCATTTCATTCATTAATTATGAAAAACATGAACGAACAAAAACTAGTGTGACAGAGAAAAACAAAATGAGTGTGTTGATGGCGGTTACAGAAAACCCACACACAAGCATAAGGACTATTTCCAATGAACAAGAACTTAGTTACTACTCTGTTCAATACATTCTATCTAAAAACAAGATGCACCCTTATCATATTCAAAAGGACCAAGAATTAATTAATAATGATTTTCAGAAGCGAATAGTATTTTGTGAATGGGCCTTAGAAAAAATTAATGAGCAGAGAGATTTTTTTGATTATGTCCTATTTGGTGATGAAGCTACATTCCATCGAAACGGTTCTTTTAATAGGCATAAGTTTCACTACTACTCAACAAGTAATCCATACCACATAGTAACACATAGTCAAACAAGATGGTCTCTAAATGTGTGGGGAGGTATCGTCGGTAACCATGTAGTAGGACCATATTTTTTTGAAGATAATTTAAATGGTGAGATTTATTTAGATTTTATCGTTAATCAGTTACCGATATTATTAGAAGAGGTTCCACTTAATATACGTGAAAAAATGTGTTTTCTACATGACGGTGCACCTGCGCACCACAACGAATTACTACGTGGTGAACTTAATAATCAGTTTGGGGAAAGATGGATCAGAAGGGATGGACCGGTAAGGTGGTCCCCAAGGTCACCAGAAATAAATAAAATGGACTCATTTTTTTGGGGTTACCTTAAGAACGAAGTATATAAAATACCCCCAACAACAAGGGATTATATGAAAAATAGAATCCGAATTGCATTTCAAAATATTTTTTTACAAATACTTAGTAATGTAACCATCTCTTTCAATGACCGTTTTCAAGCATGCATAGATGTTTTGGGAGGTCATTTTGAACACCTTAAGATAAGTTAAACTTACTGTTGTTTTTAATTTTTCTATGTGTTGTTATATTTTTTTTTCATTTCCGTAGGTTATTTTTTATAAATTTTATTTTAAATAAATTGTTTTCTTTTCTGTGTCGTTATTTCGTTACTAAATTATTAAACAATAATGTCAAACTGTCAGTTTTTGACAAATCAATCATAACCAACTCACAATATAATTATTGTGAGTTGGTAAACGTTAAAATATCTACCAAATTAATACTTTGATGGAAAAACAATAATATCTAGAAAACTGATAACTTTAGGTATAGGGAGTACTTTATAAAATTTGAAGTACGATATTATTACTTTTTGATAGTGATATAAAATACAGGGTGTTCTATTTAAAATTACCAAGAAAATAATGTATTTGCATTTTGACTTACCCTGTATTTGATTTAACGAATATTATGAAAACGAATATGTTTTATAATTTTTAACAATTATTTAAAAACTATGGTTGCAATAGATCAATGTTCCTGTACTCCTTTTTAATTGCACAGGGAGTTAAACTTGATACGATTTTCAGGTAATATTGGTTATAACTTTTTAGATACCCGGTATAACATAATAAAACTTTACATTGTTGTGATGTGTAAGTGAAGCCGATTTTAAATTTAAAATAAAATACGGGGTGTTCTATTTAAAAAATCATAAGTTTGGTCTGCCACCATCTTATGGAACACCCTGTAAGATTGTAACTAATTTTAAAATGTGGAGTTTAAAGCTGCCTACAATTTTTGTTAATAACTTTTTTTAGTAATTTTTACTATAACAGATCTACTGAGCTTCCTCACACTAATCAATCACCCTGTATATATATATATATATATATATATATATATATATATATTATATATATATATATATATATATATATATTGGATTTGAAACTTCCGCGGGAGCTATAAGTGATTTCAGTTGTTTTCCGGGTTTGACTCCGCGTTAAGTAATTTTGGTTTTTAGAAAAACCATTGTTTTGACGACGTTTCGGCAAGGTCACACTTGCCATTGTCAAGTCAGATTAGTTCTGCTTCGTCTTGATGTTTCAGGAGAACTGAGTTCTCCAAAATTACTTAACGCGGAGTCAAACCCGGAAAACAACTGAAATCATATATATATATATATATATATATATATATATATATATATATATATATATATATATATATATATATATATATATTAATAAAATATTCAACTAGTGAATTCAGAGGTTTAATCCATCATTCAGGTTGGCAAAATAAAAAAGAAGTCAACTACTTCATAAGTTTATAGAAGACGTTTCGCTTTATATTTCTAGAGCTTCATCAGTTCTCTAAAATACAAAGATGACATAGAGTTTATAAGAAATATATATATATATATATATATATATATATATATATATATATATATAATCGAAAACCTCTCTACCCTAAGGTGTGAGGTAATACAATACAATACAATTACAGGTTACAGATATACATTGCATCTCAAATCCAATGAAAATATTTATTCTATTAAATTTATTCTATTCTGTGCAGGAATTTTGTCCATTCTTTCTTGTTTTTTGGCCTTATTTTGAGCTTTTGACCATTCCAATCCCCTACTTTTCAAAATCTTTTTGAAATATATTTATATATTTTAAACTTTTTTTATATAAACAAAATATTTTTGTTTATAAAAAATACAGAACTAATAATTTATAACTTACAACTCAAGTATATTAGTATATTAAAGATGTTATAGTATATTATTAAAGATGTTATATATCGATGGTGAGCAGGCAAAATGTCCTATCTCGCATTTTGTCGATTTTTGTATTTTTGGTCGAAACAATTTTTAAATGTGACTATTTATCACCCCATTAAGGAATATTTGCGAAAATCGACAACATTGTCTCGTCACCTGCGAATTTCAATTTGGCCTATTGAAAACAGACACCATTTGGAATGCTAAATGTCCTATCTAACGTCCATTCTAATTTGCGTGAAGTGGCTGTGCACATTGTGCTAATTATTTTGATATAATCACTGTAAATGGTGACCTGTTTTACTAGAAAAAGGTATGTATTGATTTTTAAGTTCTGTGAGCATTGTATTATTTATATGGAATTGGATAAAAATCTTATTTTAATTAAAAATAACGTTGAATTTGATACTTATGTAGATAGGACAATTTGTCAGAAAATGAATTGTTCTAGTAGGAGTCTGTTAAACGCGTCAAGTGGAGTTAGGACAATTTGTTTTTATGCATATTATAAATTGAAATCCTTTTTATAAATAAATTAGGGATGACTGCTATTATTTATATTACAGAGTGATCCAGAGAAATCATGAACCGAGGAAAGAAGTTAGTGAATATGTGTAAAATACAAAATTAGATGGAAACCTGCAATAAGTCAATGGACGCACCTTCCACTAAGGTATTATTTTTTGGCTCAGTGGACAAAAACAGTCATTTGTGACTGCTCATGTGATAAAAATTGAGAAAAAGAGAAACACTGTAGATCGAAATGACTCTAGATGCAATTTTACGTTTCAGTATAGATTAAATATTGGACAAGGAGTAAAGCAAGTTTGTCGACAAATGTTTTTGAGTACGCTTGGTATCAATTAAAAAATGGTTCAGAGATGGTATCAACAAAGTTGATATAACATCCCTCGTCTCGAAGATCAGCGCAATAAACAAGTAAGTGACCGACCAGAACTAGCAAGGGAATTAAGTTCCTCCAAAAATTTTTAAATGAACTGCCTAAAATGCCGTCACACTACGCTCGAAAACATTCATCTAAACTATATTTGGAACCCATATTTCATACAATTTCTGATGTTTTTAAATTGTATCTTAGTAAATGCGAAGCTGAAAGCGTCCCGTCTATTGGCAGAAAGAAGTTTTCAGAAATAATTAGTCAACAAAATATTTCAGTTTTTCCCAATAAGAAGGACCAGTGTAACACGTGTTGTAGCTACCGAACTGGAAACATAACAGAAGAGGCATGGCATGCTCATCAAAAACGTAAACAGGACTCGAGAGATGAAATGGAAAAAGACAAACGTGAAGCTCAGTTAGGAAATCAGTTCACAATACAATTAGATTTTCAGGCCGTAAAATTAGCTCCCTTTACACACGCAAACGCGTTTTATTACAAGACCAAGCTTGCCTGCCACAACTTGACAGTATACAATTTGGCTACAAAACATGCCAGTTGCTATTGGTTTTCTGAGGATCAGAATAATCAGCTTGTTGCATCAACATTTACTTCTTGTTTACTAGATTTTCTTTCAAGATATTGTGTAACAGAGAATAAAAAACCTATAACAATTTTTTTGGATGGTTGCACTGCTCAGAATCGGAATGCAGTTATGGCCAATGCCCTTTTAAATTTCAGTATGTTACATAACATAACAATACATCAGAAATTTTTAAAAGTTTAAAAGAGAAATTAAAGTTCCAAGTGATTACATATCTATCACAAAAGAAGCTAGAAAGCTTCCAAACCCATATGAGGCTATTCATTGTGATATCCGTTTTTTTAAGGAATATAGCAAAACTTAAAGATATTCTTCCATTCGTCCAGGACGAATAGTAAACGATCCAACTGTTATGGATATAAGATCTATTTTCTACAATCCGTTAAGACATATTAAGGTAAAACTTCATCATACGGAATCAAATTGGACTGATCTTCCTGTAAGACCAAAAAATATCCCCACAATATCCAAATATCCTGCATTATTTACCGAACGATGTAAAATTTCCAAGGTAAAGTGGCAACATCCACAAGAACTAAAAAGTGTCATTCCATCGGACTGTCACTTTTTCCATGAGAATTTGCCACATATTGTTTAGAATCATTAAAAACTTTTTATTATTTAAGTTTATCTGTTATAAAAAGGTTCTTTTTAATTTAATTTGTATTATATAATCAAAATGCATAGAGTCCTATGTAACAAAATATTTTATTTCAAATTGTCCTAACTGACTCACTAAATGTATAATGCAAGTAAATCAATTTTTGTTAACATTCACTTTTACGTAATAAAATTTAAGTAATTACGTATTTTTTTTATTCGTCCCTATATCAATATTTTTAAAATAAAATGATTTTTTCTTCCTCCTGTAAAACACACTTTTTGTAGATAGGACATATTGCCTGCTCACCGTCGATATGTACATTTACTTATGTATTTATATATATATATATATATATATATATATTATATATATATATATATATATATAAATTATGAGAAAAGTAATATGCATAAAAGAGACAAATAGTAGAATATACAGAAACAACTTTTTTAAAACTTACCAGAAAAACTAAAAATTCGGTCCCCATTTAGTGCTAAATATACATCGGGTCTGTAGGAAGATCCTAGCCTAAGAGGAGATCTCGTTAGAGCTACTTTAGCCTCAAAATGCTTCATATTATTAATATCAAGTTCTAGATGTATGGACTTTTCATCATTAGTATTTTTGTATCGACCATAAGCCACGACTGTACCCGCAGCAGATTCAATAAGCATAGTGATATTTTGAGTTTGTTTATCAAGGGTTATATTGGTAGATAGTAATCTCTTTACATTTGATCCTGGCGTATCAAATGATATAGATATGATACTGGAGTGTGGTGATTGTTTCCATTTGTACTCGAACAAATATACAGTAGCAGTGGGATCAGCTTTGTGTAGAGATATTCTGAAGTTGGCTGGTCCGGCTGTCAATAAATAAGGTATATTGGATAATTTCGTTAAGTTGACAAAGTCATAGCTAGTGCACAACTTCAGGCCTATCGCCTGATCAATTACAGGCCAAGAACATAAATTGTTGTATATTCGTTTTGCTGCTAAACTTTTCTGGGGCTCTTCCTTTTCATTTTGCTTTACTAACAATTCGGAACTAAAATATAAAAATAAATAAGATTGTTTTAAAATCGTTTTACTAGATATTCGTTAATATCTATTTAGCATATATTGGAAATTTAATATAATACATATAATAAAGATATTAGTAGGTATATTAATAATAATATAATTTATTTCATATAATTAATTTCAAATGATTTCTAGTAATAAAATTAAAATCAAAGCATATTTTTCCTCTGATAATTTTTTTTTTCGTAGATTGTTAACTCAAGCCCCATAAAGGTATCGGTAAAAGTATTTATTGCGCTATAGTATTTTGTATTATTTCTATGCTGTGTATAATCCGTAGGTCATACATTATATGAGGAGCAGACTTTAAAATCGCACTTTGTCGATATTGTCACATTCTGACTTCGAGGTGGCGTTGGATTCGTCAAAACATCATTTAATAATTTACATACTCCTAGATATTCTAAACGTAATATTTCACGTATATTTTTGGCTTTAAAAATTACCTAGACAAACATAACGCATTAAGTTCTGCCATGAATGAGCCACCGAAAGGCGTGTTTATTTTGATCTCAAAAAATTTGTAAATTTTATGCAGTAATTATAACAATTTATTTATTAATAGTTAAGTGACAATTACATGACACACCAGTAAGTTAACACATCATATTAGCTTTCGTTAATATAACGTGATCAATCAGTTTTTGGTTAATTTGTAATTTAACAATTATCAATAAGATACGATTCAATAAACATTATTCCAGTTTTATTACCTGTTTGATTACTAATCAGGGCTGTATTATTTTTAAACACATGTCCCGTGTTAAAATAAAAAATGGAACCTTATATTTAGAGTCTCTCTAACACACCACATGTATCGCAATTATAGACAAATACTAATAAAACCTATTCATCAGCAACTTCTACACAATTTCCCTCAAAACATCAAGCAATTGTCTTCAGCGCTTTAGAAAATATACGACTGCAAAAGATTACTTAATTCTCTTGGGTAACCTAATTCATCCTAAAAATATTATATTTTTCTCCCGACTATCCATTTATCGGATTTGCATGTACCTTGCAAACAAACAAATCATGGACGAATTCATGCAAAGCCATGGTCAAATAGAAATCTAAAACAATATTGTACAAGCTAGAAGATTAATTTCACCAGCGGAATGTATTTGTTTTTTAAACGTATGTTTTTAAACGGAATATTTTTTAAACATACGTCCAACAATACCACACAGTCTGTTAGTTGATTATCTACAAAGTATTGGACTTAATATGGTCTCTTCTATCACTTTTCTAAAAATCAGTTTTACTCTTCCCGAATAGAATCACATTTTGAGTTTCAGAAGACAAATATATGTCAATCTCCATAATATCTCCTTACTCGACTAATTCACCTTAGACTTCAATAATACAACATATCGAATATTCTTATCTCAAGAAACTATGGCCTGTTATAACTGCAAAAAGTTTGGACATATCGCCACCAACTGCGAAGAAAAATTAGCAAATAATTAGAGCAATCCTAACATTGCTAATGGTCAACTATAAGTTAACATCATGGAAAGCTGCAAAGCAATTTAATATCGACCTTCAGCCGAAATGTAGTATCAATAATGTTCTTACGTCTCCAGAAACAACTCATACAGAAAAATCTGTATGAGTTGTATCTGCTGTACCTAAATCCAAACCTAAAGTCAAGAACTCCTCCTCCTCAGTCGTTTCCTCATTGCTGAGTGTCGTGATTCCCTATAATACGAGCCACTATCTCTTTCCATCGGCTTCTGTCCTGAGCTTCCCTCATGGATTCTGAAAATGTTTTTCCACTGGCTTTCTGTACCTGATCCGTCCATCGAATAGGTGAGCGACCTCTACTTCTGCGCCCTTCAACGTTTCCCGAAATTATAAGTCTCTCAAGATTATCATCACTTCTTCTTGCAATATGGCCGAAAAATTTTAAGACGGTGGAGAGGCAAATAGACGAAAGTCGAGTCTGAATATTAAGCTCTTGGAGGATTGAGTGATTTGTTCTGTGTTCCGTCCATGAGATCCGAAGCATTCTTCTCCAGCACCAGATTTCAAAAGCGTCAATCCTTTTTCTGTCGTCCGATTTGATTGTCCATGTTTCGGATCCGTAACTAAATATGGGAAAAATTAATGCACGTACTAATCTTATTTTGGTGTTCTTCGACAAGGCGCGATCTTTCCAGATTTTTGATAATCGACTCATAGCGTTTTTAGCCATGCCTATTCTCCTACGTATTTCTGTTTCACAAGATCCTGTATTATTGATGTAGGATCCTAGATAATTGAACTCGTTAACCACTTCAAACTGGTCCAAGGCTCCTGTTGTCTGAAGTGAATTTGAATAGTCTACTATCATAATTTTTGTTTTTTGTTTATTGATCTTGAGACCACATCTATTGCTTTCGACTTCCACTAGCTGCAGCAGGCTGGACATTTCTTCTTCGGATGCAGTTATTAATGTTGTATCATCTGCATATCTGAGATTTGAGATCTTTTTTCCTGCTATAGAAATACCGCCATTCCATTTGTCGAGTGCTTTTCTCATTATATATTCCCCATAGAAATTAAAAAGACTTGGAGATAGAATACATCCTTGTCGGACTCCTCTGCCTATTTTAAAAGGATCGGACTTATGATTTTCAATTCTTATTCTGGTTTCACTGTTCTCATATAGACTTTTCACCAGAGCTGACAGATGATCAGGAACCCCCATCTCATGTAGAACTTTCCACAAAACTGTCCAGTTTACACAGTCAAATGCCTTCTGATAATCCAGAAAGCAGATGATCATCGGAATTTTGAATTCTCGTGCTTTCTCAATGAGTTGTCGCATATTAAGAATTTGCTCCCTTGTGCCTTTACCCTTAACGAAGCCTGCCTGTTCTTGTGGTATTTGTCTATCCAGGTATGTCTGCATGCGACACTTGATAATTCTCAACAGAATTTTACTTGGGTGTGAAATTAGTGAAATTGTTCGGTAGTTACTACATTTTGTGGTTACGCCTTTCTTATGAATGGGAATAAATAGTGCGGTACACCAATCGCTGGGCCATTTACCGATTCTCCATACATGATTGCACAGTCTCCACATTAATTGGATACCATGTTCACCCATGTTCTGTAAAAGTTCTGCCGTGATATTATCGCAACCAGGTGATTTCAGAAGTCAAGATTTCAGGTGAAGTCAAGAACACGTACATGCATAAAATCAACAAAATCATATGACCTTAAGCTTGCCAAAGATTTTATCCAAAATCATTTACCCACATTTGTTCTCAATTTTGACTAATTAAATCAACTTCTAAGCAATGTTATTGGCGTTCAAGATCCTCTTAACATAATTCAAGAGTTCACTTCTAACCTCCTGGGATTAGTTCATATGCTAACTAAAGTTCATCCGCAATAAAAGATAGATCAACCAAACGTTAGGTATATCACCTTTTTAAGAAAGAAAATCCTCCGACACTTGGGTAACAACATCTCTGAATTCGAGGGCGAGCCATCTCAGGTTAATCCGTAAATTTAGTTTTTTCGTATATAAAATAATCCACTAAACTATTGCAATGGAATATGGATGGGTTTTTCCATCGACTTCCAACCTTACAAAAATATATTTCTGAATTCGCTACCGAAATAATATATCCAAAAAACAAATTTAAATCCCCAAAAAAACGATATAGTTGGAAGAGCGAAGAATTCCACGTATAAATTTAATAAATAAACACTATAACCAACAAACTAACTGTACAATAATAACTAAAATATATATTTTAAAAATGTGTTTATCCAAGCGGGGTTGTCGTCAATCTCTTGTATCTCTTCCTCCCGGCGCAAGACACCCTCTCTTCGTGGAACGCGTTCGGTTCGATCGGGGTGGATCGTGACGCAGGCGCACAATTAGTTGGGTTTAAACTGTGATGTGCGCGAGCATGTCCGTACTTAACAAGAGTACATAACAATAATTTCTCTTCAGGTGAAGTTATGACACTTGTAAAAAAATCTTTGGTTGCAAATATTTTTCCTGCTAATAGTAACATTAAAGCTATAGTTAAATAGATCAGCTCTTCCGTTCATAGTTTATATGTAACCTTTTCGTTTCATCTAGTTCCTCAGATAGATAAGTAAAGATTTAAAAAGCCTTATCGAACAGATATCCCTCTTCGAATCATCGTAGGTAATTTAACGGTCATAACGTTATTTGGAGTTCAAAGAGTTCTAGAAAAGGTAATGTAGGATCTTTAATTAAATTTCCTAAATGATGGGTCACCTACAAGATTTAACATCTGCACTGGAGAATTCTCCCTGATAGATTTAAACTTCTGTAATCCAGATCTAGCTCCACGTCTCTCTTGGACTGTTCTCGATTATACTTGGTGGTGATCATCACCCTAGTACTATTGAGAATCTTCCAAATCAGCCACAGAAAAAAAGCATTTAATACATGTTGAAGATTCAACATTTTAAAAAAAGTGTCAGTCATGGAACATTCATGAAAATTACCCTCAAGACTCAATTATTAGTCCTACACTTTTCTGAATTGCTATTATTGACATAATTAAAAATCTCAAAAATCTTTAAAAGCACGTTTATATGCAAGATGACTTGGTGGTTTATGTAAAAGGGCAAAGAAATTAATTTAACTTCAATAATTTTGCAAAGTTTCTTACAAAAACTCAAAAAATGGTCTCGCGATACTGGTTTTCAATTCTAGGTTACAAAAACCGTTAGTATGGAATTCTCAAGAAAGAACTTCAAATCATGTGTAAAATTCTTAGGTATGTGGTTTTATAATTAACTTACTCGGAAAAAACATATTAGACAATTAGTTTTGACTTGTCATAAGAAACTTAAGCTAATGAGAACACTGTCAAAAAGATTTTGGGGCTCTGATCTCTTTACCTTACTTACAATGTACAGAACTCTAATTAGATCAAAAAATTTATTATGGATCAATCGCTTACGCCTCTTTTTTCCCCATATTGTTAA